CACTTCATCAATTCTGTGCTAATTGCTTTTAATCTCAAAAATCTTGTGGTGGAAACTGTTTGGGGCACTTTTTTTTTTTTTTTTTACAGTGGGAAAACTAATTTTCTGAGTGTTTATGTATCTGGCCCAGAGCTACAAAGCATGCACAAGGTAGGGCTTAGGTTTGAACTGAGCCTGTCTGACCTTCAGCTATCAGATAAACATAAGGAGGATGAAACACAGATAGTCCAATCCTGCTGTTTCCTGTTTCAAGCATGGGCTTCACTTAGCCCATCACCACCCACCACCATTTCCCATAAAAGTCTATGTTGAGTAAACAAATTTATTCATAAATTTTTTTTTAAAAGATGCTAAATTATTAGTGAGTCTCCTCTCAAAACTCTCCAAGAGAACTTTGAGAAATAATAAGAAGGATTTAAGAGGGTTGAGTAATGAACTATATTTAAAGTATCCCTATAACTAATATTGAATATGATCCTAAAGAAAGATTAATGGTCCAAGATGTCCACTGTGGAGAATAGGAGGTTGAGCAGAGATTGTTAACAGCATTTTATAATACTTGAGGAACTTGTTCTCTGGAAGAAAACTTGACGTGGAAGTTTCAGGGAGGCCCATTTAATCTAAGCCTTGGAAAGAACTTTCTGTTAACTATAGCTGTTCAACTGTGGAATGAATTGCCCCCCAAACTCACTTGGTCCTTGTCACTACAGGCATTCACCAGAGGGTGGACAGCACTCAGTGAATCCGGGTGAGGTATCCCAATATTGAGAAGAAAACTAGAATAGAAGACCATTCTAATTCTGAGGTGTTTTCACATTTTACATGAAATAAATGCTTCTAGGCGAGTGTGGTGGTTCACGCTTATAATCCCAACAACTTGCAAGACGGAGGCAGGAAGATTGAAAGTTTGAGGCCAGCCTCAGCAGCTTAGCTGGGGCTCTGTCTCAAAATAAAAAAAATAAAAAGGACTGGAGATGGAGCTCCAGTGGTAAAGCACCCCTGTGTTCAATCCTTAGTGCATAAAAGAAAGAGTGTGAGTCATTTATTTTAATATAATTCAGAATCTATTATCATAAAAATTACCAAAAGGAGAAATATATGTTAAGTGGAGGGAAAAAAATATTTAATCTCTTTAAAGAACATATACTTGGAAATAACTAAGAGCTATTCTAAGTACCAAGGACTCTATAAAGAAATTCATATTTTTGAGAATATTGAAGTATTAAAAAATTCCTAAAAATGTTATAGATCTACTTGAATGCAGTTCACTAGAAGAAATGAGAAAAACATGCTGTTTAGAGAAAAATTATGAGTTGCCAGAAGTTCTGAAGGTAGTTTTTTGACAAAAATAGCGAACTATCAGAACATGGTAAAGTTGACACTGAGGTCAACCATAAAGCAAACAGGAAGTTAATATTAAGACTGAAAAATGTGGAGGCAGATGAAGTTCTCTACAAAAGCTTGACTGGTTCCCAGTCTTTTTCTTGGATGCTTGAACATCTGCACCATATAAACCACATTCATATAGTAGAGCCTTGGAAATGCATGCTCAGTTAAAGTGCAGATACCGAAGCATTTCAGTGTTATAAATTATACTGGAGTGTGTGTGTGTGTGTGTGTGTGTGTGTGTGTGTGTGTGATTTGCAGAAAACACATATGCATGAGGCTTTTTGAATATGCTGTACTATCTGGTCAGTGTGCCATTTCCATTTTGTTTTCTTAGGTTTTTATCAGCCAAACCCCTTTATATCTAAGGGATAGTAAGATTGAGCAAAGTAGTGCAAGGCATATTAAGGTGTCATGATTTTCCTAAAAAGAGGGAAGGTGGCCTTCAAAAGGCCTAAAGGTGGTATGTCTGTAACCATAGCTCATTGTCAGCACTGAGTCTGAGCTCAAATGTTATTAGGATTCTTGAATTTATCATCATTTATAAAGGACATAAAAAGTGCTCAGTGTGAAGAGGGCTTAAGGAACATGGGAAGGAATTAGAGTTTGATGAAAGGCAGAATTTGGAGTGCAGAAATTTGATACACCAAATTTGCTGTATTTTTAGGATAATGAAAAGTAATATGATCATGTCAGTTTCAAGCCTGCTGAAATGTTCTATGCATATTTGTAAACACCACATTCATAAAATGTATGAACCAGTTTTTTGGGTTTGTAAAATGCTAACTTCTGAGGATGGACTTGTACCCCTTTGTTGTTCCTCATCAGACTCCCCTCCAAAATCAGGGACAGCATCATCATTCCCTGTGAAAATACCATTAGTCAAAAGTGGAGGAAAAAAGTTTCTGAAAAACTATTGTAGAGATTTGCTAACAATTCCTGCATAAATTACCCCAAAGATGGAAGAACAACTTTCTGTCATGGAATTCATCTTTCTTTGATCTTCACCTCTTTTGCAGTGTAGTCTCCAAATCAATTCCCTGGAGGTTTTGTGCTTCTCTCCTTTAATTGCCATTAGAGAGGGCTGTGAATCCTCCTACTTCCTCACTTCATGTACATCCTAACTATATTCTTGGACCAAAGTGATTCCATAAAAATTAAAGGGGCTAGGAGGATCAAAGGCTATGTGATTTCAGAATGATGCTGTCCTTTGTGTGGGATTCTTCACATATTGGAACATTGAGGGCAGGAGTAGGCAACTGGAGTGCTTCAGCCTTTCCTTGGAGCAGACTTCTGGCAACTGCAAAGAAACCACATAAAGGCATTTAATAGCTTAGAAAGACTGCAGCCTCATAGCCTCACTGAAGACAGTAGCTTGGGGGCTGACGATTACCACTCTGCAATAAAGCTTAGGAAGTCCCTATGCCTTTATACTCTTTTACTTTCCTCTTTACCCCATTTATAAAACTCATAATAACTGATAGGAAGCATTCAGTTTAATTTCCCTTGCTTGGTTGGCTTCATTACCTAATTCTGTAAGTATCCATACTTGCACATACTTAATGGGAAATGTCCATGGGTTCCCAACCTCAAATCAGCTCATGCTACTTGGAAAATGGTACATGGTACAAGGGACCCTAGAATATGCCAGGCGTTGTTCTAAGTGCTTCATTGATAGGCTTATTCAGTCTTCACAACACTCCTGGGGTGTGGTTTTATGTTTATCTCCATTTTATAAATGAGGACTCCAAAGCTCAGAGGAGGCAAGAAAAAGTGCTCCAGGCCAGGGTCAGAATCAGAATTTGAACCACGGAGCCTGACTTCAGAATTCATGCTGTTAACTGTTACATCAATGTCATAGCACAGAGACAATCTGAAGGAAGTGCTGAGCATATTTCTTCTGTCTTTTAGCTTGATTCTTATATACAGTTGAATTACCAGAAAACTGAGGCAGTGATTTTATTGCTGTGGTACCATTAATTATAAAAGAAACAGGAGAGAAGAAAAAGCTTGTATTAACTAGCTTAGTAGACTAGTTTCAATCCAGACTCCTGATGTACCAGTTATGTTAGATTTATTACTAATTTCTCTGGACCCCACTTGTTTAACCAGAAATAGGGTCATGACAGCAGCATCTGCTTCATAGCATTGTCATTGATATGAACTTACATAATAATACATTTAAAGTGCCCAGCACCATGCCTGACACATACATGTTAGCTGTTACTATTTTAAAACTACCTCCAACCCTTTGTGTAAATAGAATGGTGACAGAAAATGAACCAACTGGGTGGATTTCTATTAGAGCAGTACCGCTTAATAGAAGGTAATAAGGCACATGAATTTTATTTACAAGTCAGTGGTCTGTATTCCACCAATGGACCCACTTTTTTGCAATATTCTTCTTTGATCCGTGACTCAGGAGCACTGTATGGAAGTGGTGTTGTAATGCAGTGCATCAGGTATTTATTACACTCTAGGGTGGGTCTATGTTGTCCCCAACCCTGAAATACAGCAGTGATCATATTCCTCGAACCCCTCCCAGTTCTGCCTCGGAATATGAAGTAGTCCTGGAGTGGGGCTTTACCTTTCTCTGCCAGCTAATTGGCAGTGGAAAATCAGTATAGACATAGGGAGGGCTAAGAAGTAGAAAGCAAAAGTAAGTTAGCAATCCTCTAAGGATATGGAATTCTCCTGGGTGGAGTCTTTTAGTCTACCGTACTGACTGAGGTCTAATGCCTTTGGAAGATGGGTACTCCAAATAGGAGGTGTGACACAAACTCTCCCTGCCCCCAATCCTCCTCTAACTTTCTTTTTCTAATGAAATTATATGATTTCTGCCTTAAAATTGAAAATTTCTCCTTTATTCTCTCACCAAAAGAGCCCTAAAGACTATGCATTCCAATGAAGCTACTCTTTCTCTTAAAGTCTCCTTAGAAAATGATGGGAGTAGGAATCCCCACTTGAGGAAATTCGGTCTTTTATAAATAGCATCCCACATAACACCTGAAGGGTTAAACTTTTGTTGGTGAGGAAGGGTATCAAGTGGCTTCCCAGGAGGAGATAACCCCTAGTTTAGAAACTGACACTTTTAAAATGTAAGCCAAGTATGCATTAGTTTACACAGCTTTCCATGAAAGGAATAACTCATTGGCACCAGTGTGTGTGTGTGTGTGTGTGTGTGTGTGTGTTTGTGAGTTTGATCAGTCTTTGCCGTTCTACCTGTCATCTGTATAATGTATGTATCAGAGTGAGGACTGTCAATCACAGTTAATAAAAACCCCAGAACAAAACAGGGGTCCCTTCTACTTTAGATCCATTTTATGATAGCTCTCGATTTAGTATGCCAAATAAATCAAAAGGGAAGCATTTTATCTTATCATTCAGAGGCATCCCTTCTCCTTTCATGTCCTAGCCCCTCCCCCATGCTTGTTCCCAGCCCCTCAAAGATGCTTTGTGCAAGAAAGTGCAAGTTCCCATTCTGGCTTTATTTTTGTTCCCTTTTGCTCTCTTCCTGGCTCCCCCCCAAACCGAGCGAGCAAAGCAAATGGCCCGGGTTCCCCCCCAACGCCTGACCTGCGTTTGCTGGGAGGAGAGCGGGAGAGGGAGCGTGCATTCCGGAGCAGGCTGCTCTGATTCCGACCACAGGCTGTTTTGTGCAGGCTGTCCCTCTCCTTCAAAACCCTGCATCCCCTCCCCGAAGCAGCAGGCAGTGTGCCTTCATTCAGCCACATTTGGTATGCATGAGCACGGCTGCAGAGAGAGGGGAGGTGGCTTTCTTAAGAAGGTTCAGGGGCTCAGGAAACGCCACTTGACTAGTCTCCCAAGTTCCAGGAAGCCTCTGCCCTAATGGAATTTGCAGGTGTGGAGATGACCATGGGATGCCAGGGCCGTGGGGAACCATTTATTTTCTAGGCATTGCTCAGGTTTGCAGTTTCTTGTTTTCCCGGTGGAATTTGGAAGGGGTCATGAATCAAACTGATGCTTCTCGACCCCTAAATTGGACCATCCGGAAGCTGTGCCACGCAGCCTTTCTCCCATCTGTAAGACTCCTTAAGGTACTGTAACTTGCTGCTTTGAATGGCTCTTATTGTGCTTTTCAGGTCTAAATATCCAACTTCGCACTTGGGCTGGGATGCACGTTTTGGGGAGTGCAAATGCATGCAGTACTGGCTCTGTTGCCCATGGCTGGAGAGACATTCTCTGCACCCTTCACTGCCCCCACCCCTGCCTGGGAGGATGGTGTGAGCCACACTTAAGAATGAGATTATGGTCTCAGAGAATGGGCTACCTGAGTGCTCCCCCCACCTCTGTTAACCATCCCTAAAACAGAATTAATTAACTTCTTTGGGAGGGTGGGAACAGGAGTGGGCGTGAAATCTCTTACTCCCCTTGTGTTTGGCTCCTGGGCTTTTTTTTTCCCTCCCTGGGGAAGCCCTTCGACCTACTTTTCCTTAAATGGAACCAGGGAGAACAAAGGATTCTCCTCATTATTTTAAAAGCCCTGTTGTTAGGTGGTCAGTCAGGTAAAGACAAAGAAAGAATGTACATTATCAGATGGTGACTTTTTTGGTGCCCCTGTTTTTTAAAAAAGCATGATAATTTGTTTCCTGGAGTGAAGTCAGTAGTGGGAAAGTATTGTTCAACACATATTGAACGCAGCTCTCTCTAGCTCTGAGTCACACAAAAGATCCCCGCTACACCTGAGCTAGAATTGCCACCTTGTGTCCGTATTCTTCTCTTTCTAGAAGCACATGTATTAAAGATATGAAAAAGTCCATACAACTCCATAATAATCCACCTTCATCATCTGCTTTATAGGGAAAGAAATACAATTAAAATATAAAGACACAGAAAAGAAATAGTCTTGCCTAGAAAAGAGAATGTGGTAACACTTATTTGGGAAAAGTAGTATTTCTGAAGGCTCTGCCTAGGTCAAGTTTAAAAGTTCTTAATTCTCTTTTCCATATCATAGATGATCTTTTGATTTAATTTCCACTGGGCATTGAGCAAATCAGCTAAAATGGAGAATTAATGAATTAACCCTGAATAAATCATACTTATAGATTGTTTTTCTGAGACTGTGTTCTGAATAGGTTAAGTTTAACAATCAATTTCTTACAGCTAAGTGGCTCGTCTCCATAGTGTTAGCCATTGTCTGAGTTTCCCTGACCCCATTAAACACAAACTGGTATTAACTTCCACAAGGGCTGTCCCCAAGTGCTCTTCAACCCCCCCATCTTAAGGTTGTCATAGAAATGGTTCGCTTTCCAAAGGGAATATTTGGGGAGACAAGCAGGTTTGGGCTCAGAGAGAGAGGAAGAGAAGCTTCCTAGGATATGTGTGCTTTTGCTATATTGGAATGACACGTGTGATAGGGCGTGAAAGAGAATGAGGCCAGAGAGTTCACAAATGAATGTAAATTCTCCTCCAGAATTACTAGTGAATCAAGAATCTGGGGCAAAGAATGTTTTGGCAAATCTAAGTATGACTGAGAAAGTCAACTCCGGTATTTCCATTTACAATGAGAAAAAAATTTTTTTTTCTGTTAAAGTCATCTGTTGGCTTTACCCCCAAAGAATGCTTTACTCTTCTTAAAGATTATGTGTGTACATTATTAATGAATATTCAATGTTATTAATTAATACTGTAGTTTTTAAAATGGAAAATATTATTGATTTACTGGTCACAAAATCAGCAAAGAAGTGCCTCCTTGAGGTGGGGTTGTGTATTTTTAAGAGTTATCATCTTTTTAAATCTGAAGTCTGTACTATATCCCAGGGGCTGTTGTGGGTGCTTTTGTTGTCATGCAGCTCCATCCTGTCACCATTTACTAACATGGTGCTTGACAACAGTTCATCTAACAAAGTGCATTAGTGAGTATTCCTCCAATCCTTTCAATATCTTGAAAGACAGGATGCGTTTTCCTGGGAACTTTCCAAATGACATCTGCATTTTTGAAAGATCATAGCTACCCTATGAGATTTTAGATTGCACATTTCAAACTCTTAAAGAAAATAAAGTGCTACCAGGTTTTCTCAGCAATGCTTAGAAAGCAATGAAATCTACTCATGTATATGAGCAATTGTATTATCCCCATAAATATGAATGCTATGTGTTTTCTGCCTTTGAATTGGTGCTACTCTGTCTTTGCTTAGGCAGTGCCAGTGTATTCTTGCACTGTTTTTTTTTATTGTTCAAGTGAAATGGAAGTTCATGAGTAATAATTTGCATCTTTGTGTAAATGTTCTTCCTGGCTTAGTCTTTAGATTAAATATTTAATAGCAGTTACTCTTACTATTCCTTCCTTAATTTTTGCTCCCTAAGTTCCTCCTCTCTCAGACTCTTACCGCCCCCCACCCCGTCTCTCATACCACCGCCATGTTATTTTCATGGATGGATTCTCTGGCATCAAGAATTTTATCAAATTACTTGACTAAGAAAGCTAGTTTTCCTATTCAACAGGTAATTTTTGTTCCTCTTCCAAGCACTGTTCTGATGTGATATGCCCTCTCCAGTGCCCTGACTTGTCAGTAAATGCAGTGTAGGGCATGATGGCCTGATTAGATTTAGCTAAACGCAGACCATTCACCATTTCTGACAGACTGGGTTCAAGCCAATTTCCCTTCTCATCCTTTCCTTGAAAGTGCATGGTTCTTTGCTAACTTACTTTGGTACCATATTAATATTTAGAAATGGCTTCATAATGCTATTTCCTGTATTTCCCATTTCCTAATGGAAATAAGATACTAAAGAATCAGGAAGGGAAGGCCAGCCTCTGAAATATGAATTAGACACAATAAGTGTTAGAATATACTTATTATTTCTTCTGAAAACAATAAATTTGTTGTTTTGTCCATCTCAGAGCAAATTTTAAATGAGCCAACCAACTTGCATTTTGAATTTGGGACTTTATTTGGAAATAACACTTGAAAATGAATTTCTGGACAGATAAATGGTAATGATGGCCAAAAGACAGAGCCAGTTTTCAAATGGATAAATTTCCAATGGGACCCTTTCCAAGCTGATTCTCCTCTGTTATCATTTGCTTCATTCTTTTGTGTTTCAAGATTTTATCTTACCATTAATCACACAAAAAAAGTCAAGTTTGTTTCAGTGACAGAATGTTCTTAGCATATTTCATATTCATTATCAGGTCTGTCTCTGCCATTGTTTTATTTGGGAGATTTTATTTTGGTAACTCATGTTGAATTTGGAGATTATTTTTAGGGCAGAGAGCTTTCTTAGTATTGAAGTCTTGGCAGACTTTCTGAAGGAAAGGCTCCTAGAAAAAGGGTTGCATTGGGAGAAAGGGAAGTTCCATATTTGTAAGATTTTGGATGGGCACATTTAAGTCACTTTGTTAATAAACACCAGATGATCAGTAGTGTGTTAAGTTTCTCAGTGTTTTAAAATGTGCAGTGTTTTAAAATTGTCTGATTTGAGCAATGTCATCAATAAACAAATTAGACTTTAGAAAGTAGGCCTAAATACTGGGTCCTAATTCATGGTGTTCCTAACCAGCTGTACCTTGGGCGAATTAAATAGTCTCTCTGTAACTTGGGATTCTCTATAAAGTAAAGGATTTGGATCTTGACTTAGATCCAGAAGTGTGATTCCCTTTGGTGGAGCCTGCCTTGCCCGAGGGGCTTGGAAGAGGACAGTCTCTTTGGGCTAAAAAGATTGAATATTAAAATGAGAAAAAGAAATGGGTGGACTGAATGAATGGCAGGGTTTGAATCTCAAGAGGGCCTTGTCTACTAAGCTTAAGGCTGAAACTAATGAGTATAACTAAAGGAAATTTTGCAGTGAGGTGACCACTAGATTCTTGTATTATATAATTGTTCTGAAAACGGAGACCACAGGCCTGGAGAATTTACTAGAACCTAGGCTAAGGCAAAGTGATCAATGTAAAATAGAGGGGCTTGTTACATTGATTTGTGTAATAGAAGAATCTAGGACAGTTTCTGAGTTCCTGTCTTTCTTCTCTGGTAGGATGTTGGTCCTACTGTCGGAATAAAGGTCCTGACGCAGAAGGGCAGAACCACATTGTGGTTCCCTAATGAGACTAAGACAAAAGTCAAGAATGTGGTTCCTTTTCTCCCTCATCCCATTGATTAATGTGGGCCCCAGTGACTGCCCAACAGCAGAATTCTTTGAAGTATATAATCTGTATTCGGAAGTATCATTTCTAATTTTTTTACACTGTATTTCCATAATACAGTCTATCATAGTTTTGAAGGTAAACTCCCCCTACCCTTGCCTGGGAAATCCAGTCATAAAGGTCAGACATTGGTTTTAGTTTTCTCTTCTCTTTTATACAGAAGCACTAATGAAAGTAAACTGGGTGACTCGCTTGAAAAATCGTGCTCTATATGTGTAATATGAAATGAATTGTTTTCTGCCATCATGTAAAACAAATTATAATAAATAAATAATTTAATTTTTACAAAAAAGTAAACTGGGTAACTCAAGGGAATTGCTTGAGAGAACATTGATGGAATGAAGGGATTAGGTCAGCTCCAATTTTGCCCTAGTGCTGATACTTTATACTTCTATTAAAGCCGATGTCCATAATGTCCCCCTTGAAGCACAGCGAGACCTTAATAACCAGGTGAACTTGGTCTGACTTCTGCAGTGGAGAATTTACTAGAACCTAGGCTAAGGCAAAGTGAGCAATATAAAATAGAGGGGCTTGTTACATTGATTTGTATAATAGAAGAATCTAGGATAGTTTCTGAGTTCCTGTCTTTCTTTCTGCAAAGCCTTCCAGAAACTGGATTCTCTTTGTTCTCCAAGAAACAGTTGACATTTGTTCAGAGTGTGTTTTACGTTTATGACCTCTAAGGCCACCAATTCACATCTGAAATTCAGAATCTTATAAGGGAGTTAGAATAATACTAAGAAACCAGAATTTCTGTTTAGGCAGGACAGGACACTCCTGAACCTTACGGTGAACAGCAGTTAACATCTACAGCCAGAGAGGACCCCCCACACCTGTTATATCTATACACATTGACAAATCAGTAAACAAGGGCACAAAACTTGTTAAGGACCA